TCCCAGTAAGCTCTGGATGCTCTCAGTGCTCTGGCCGCATGATTTCATACTTGTCTTCCATTTGTCTCCCACTTGTCTCCCAGTAAGCTCTGGATGGTCTGAGTGCTCTGGCCGCATGATTTCAGACTTGTCTCCCACTTGTCTCCCAGTAGGCTCTGGATGCTCTGAGTCACAACCTGGATCCATAAATTTCATGTTTTAGCCCTTGTAGGGCGTCCCATTGTAAAGTCAATGAAAAACATAATTTTAATGCGTTCCCTTTGAATCTTGTATGTGCGTCTACATAGTGGACTACAGTTTTCTTCCTCTAGGAAATACTGCTGGCCATATTGTTCGGAGATCTCATTTTTGAACATTGCTCTGTTTGGGGTCTACGCTGGTATAATTCAATCAAAACAACAGGGAAGGTGAAAGGTCGACGGGACATTCAGGGGCAAATGATGCTTGGTCCAGACTCCCTTGTTGAGTTCATATCGACCCACTTGAGCAACCGAAAGACTTTGTTGAGCGAACAATTGACCGTCAGCTGTGTTTGCTCAGTTTGCAATTAGAGTCTCAAAGGATTGCTCGGCCTGATCAGATGGATAGATGAAGTGGACAGGGCACGCGTTTTTGAGGTGAATCTCCTGCCTCAGGTCTACGTGGTAGTATCAAAGCCGTGAGAAAACTAGCAGCATCATTCATCCTGAATCCTGAACCTGCTCATCAAAACTGCTCCACAAGGGTCTCAGGGTCTCTAAGTGAGTAATTTGCACAAGCTCTTCCTCTTGAAGTGCCACCGTTGCAGCCGCTGGTGTGCGGCTCCATAGGCGAGGCCCGCCCAAGAAAACTCGAGCCCACGTCCACAACCTGAACGGTGAAATAGCATAGCATCTGTTTCTGGGATCTCCTAGCCTCATCTGAAGATTCTGAACCATATACTCAAGCGTTCTGAAGGATGTCTGGCTCAATCTCCATCTCATGCTGTTCCAGATCTCCATCGAGATCTTGTTCGCTCCCCATAGGATTGGCCCTGCCACGATAGGCAGGCTGATGAAGCTGCTGTGCCAGTGTCAAAAGGCAGGCCTGAGCCAAAATTTGCTAGGTGATGGCAAGACAAACTGTCATCGTTCTCCCCTGGATGAACAATCTCTTGCACTTGCTCCCCGTGCATCATATGATGCTTTCCCCTTGCCATGTCACTGCTCCTGTTATCCTTGCTGCACTGCAGCCTTCTCTTTTGCGCCGCGGTAACTTCCTGCTTCATGCATGTTGAGAACCTTGACATCAGTGAGATCCTGAATGTCATCATGTGTTTGCTTGTCGACTTGCAACTGCTTATTGTACAGCTTGGTGTTGGCCAGGAGTTCTCCTTGAGCTTCTTTCTTCTCCGGTGCAATGATTTCTCCACTGCACTCTTCAAGTCAGTCCGTAGGTCCGTAGGTCTTTTAAATGCTCCTTTAAGAGTGTAGACAGATCAGGGGGCGCCGGTGGGGGCGCTGCCTGAATGCCCGTGGCTGTGAACTGGTGCTTGATCTCCCCTGGTATCTTCTCCCAATGAGATTGGATCACCCTCTCAAACTCCGGAGTGAAGGCCTTCTTGTTCTTCTTCTGCTTCGTTGCTCCTCACAACAGTCCTGCTCGAGGTTCAATCGGAGCTGTTTGGTATGACTTCTTTGGCCAGTGCGCCTTGTCTGGCAAAGTTCCAGCCAGCCCATCGAACTGCCTTCTTTTTCTTCAAATCAGGGCCTGATTCCTTTGCCGTGGTTTGCCCACTAAACGATCTGCCCATATCCAGCCCTGTCGACAATGCTGGCATACCAAATATTGTTTCCTCAGCTTCATTGTAGGTGAAGCCACCAGTGCCCTTGTCCTCCAAGTAGCGGTCTCCTTGACCTTGTCCACCAGATAGGATGAAAGAAGCACCGATAGTGCAAGAAATCCACCAAGGTGCCCTCGTGGACCTCCAAGCATGTGGCATGTGCTTACGCACTAGCGGGTCTTCAAGGGGCCGCCCGCTTGAGCAGTGAATGGCTTGAGCCAACCTATACACACACGCTTTTTTACCATATTGACCTTTCCTTCCACCCGCGCTGCTTAAGTAGAACCCTTGCACCAGGAACCGCGCACACATCACAGACATGGGCAATCACAGTCGACCTGAAACTTGAGGTCCACTCCACCCAAAAATTGCAATATGCAATGAAGATGCCAGTGAGCTCCTTCAACTTATTTCACCTTCATCTGTAGCGTGCTCTTTCACGAAACCATTCATTGTATGCAGAGTCATGGGGAGAAGGACAGAGAAAGGCGAGGGAGAGGGAGGAGCTGACCTAGGTGAGAGCAGTGATTGTTTTTTGATGATTTTTGAATGCCAAACCACATGTAGACTAGCAAGTGTCGCTAGTAACTTAACAATGCTAGGGTTGAAAGAACATGGTTGATGAGGTGTCCAACGACTTCTATGTTCGTACAACAGAAGAGCGGCACAAGGCACGTTTTTTTGTAGCTGCTGTGTTCCTTTTTGGCAATGTCCATTCTGTGAAAGCGGCATCAGAAGGAACGAACCGAGAAACTTGCAATGATCAGGTGGTCGCAAGAGCTGTTTGGAAAAAGTGCAAGGACAAAGGCGATATTTATTTGGACAACTATGAGGGCTGGTGCCCTGGGCTGTGCTGTTTTAAGGAGATTATTAGCTTTATACATAACCATGCCCCAAGCTGTTTTTTGAAGCAACAAATTGTTACGCATATCACGTGTTCTACATATTTATGTCAACCACAATCGCCCTTACTAGCTTGCACGACTGGATCAGGGGGGTGTTGCAGTATACGGGCTTGGGGTTAGGTCATGACTCATGACCCACTGCCAGGCGATCAATGTGTTGGTCATCGAAACCATGCCATTGCAGCAATTAACAACAAACTGCCACCCTGCAACTATTTGCAACTCGTTTGCTCAATTTTCTACTGATTATCAATACGTGTATGACCGTGTCATGTGGCATGACCACCCGAAGCATCCAACTTCGACCTGGTCCAACGAATCGGAGGTGCTGGTACACATTTAAGGCATCGAAATTACAGTGAAGCACAAACCCCATATAGGTGGCAACAATTGCAAACTCCCAACAGAAGCTTGTGTGCAAGACAACCAAGAACATTCAACCGCTTTGTAGCAATGCTGCCAGTACCAACACGGCCAGCAGACAAGCATACATACAGTTTGGTGGTGGGGAAAAGAGTATTTGCGCATAAAGGATGCTTTCTGTAGATGGAAACGGGCACGTTCCCATCTCGCAAGCACCCCTCGCACAAGGGATGCCCTTGGGACCGAATCTTGGAGCACCTGCAATAGCTTGCCACCAACATGAAAAAGGGACAGCCAGAAGCACAGCGCTCCATCCTTCATTTGGATTCTCCATCAACATGATTCCTGTGTAGCACAAAGCCTTTTTGTACTGTGGTTTTGTCCAAAACACAATTCAGGACTGCAAGGGCCTGTTTTTCCAGGACAGGGTACTGGAACCTTTCCCAGTACGAAACATTTGTCTATGCCCACACACCACCCAAACCGGATAGCTGCAAGCACAGCTACCAGGCATGGGGGCACGCACCGGGGCAATCGGCTTTTAAGGGCTACAGCTGCTCCCACGCACCCAGATTAGAATCTTTCAGATGTCACCCGGGATGGTTGATGTTGACGAGGGATATTCATAAGACACGTGGCTCGTCCGTGTGTTCTGCCTTGTGGAGCACATTTTCAAGTCCACCTGTAGTACCGATGCAGTCTTATGCATGCACGTGTTCTCTTGTGAGGTCTTTTGTCGCGTTGTCATGTTGCGTTGCCTTTCTCCCATGATCACTGGGTCACATACATGTATATTGAGGGGGGTTGTACCCTCTACAAAAAAAGCATACATTTCCTGGCCTCCAGATTCTATTGTGGGAAGTGATTTTCAATATATGTTTTTCTTGGAATCTGATACCCTGCCCCCCTTGCATACATTTTCCATTGAGCAAAGTATGCTTCCTGAGGGCGGTTTCCCCCCCAGAGTTGGATGACCGCCCTTTGTTGCCCATGATTGTCCATCTTTGGGATGTATAGGTTTGTTTTGTCCATCTCAAAGGTCTGGAAAATGAAGGGAATGATATGGTAAGATCATGCCCAGAGAGCGGGTGGAGCCAAACACAAAAGAAACCCACTGAATCTCAAAATCCCAACCCCTCCCCCCACGCCCATCCCCCCACAATCTTTCTAGTTTTTGGTCGTGATTGCCTCAATTGCAGCATTGTACCCCGTGGTGTGCATATATTTGGCCTACAGTAGATTCTGGACCAGTCCTCTCTTTCATACATTTTGCTAGATTTTTGTTGACCCTGTCCACCCCTTGTTCATACAATGGCCGCGAATGCCCAAGAAATGTAGATGTGCATAGGTGATTGTGTTCCCTCCCGGATGCATACATTTTGGGTCTTGATCACCCTCTGCCTTATATCCCTCAACCGGTGTTTCCAGAAACACTGGGAATACTTTTGAACTTTTGAATATTGAATCATCTTTTTTCTATCTTCAATTCCCCTTTTCGAGAGAGGCTTGTCAACACCTGTCCCCTCCAGCTGCATACATCAGAACAAGATGTACACCTCGCTTTGTAGAGTTAGACCCGGTGATCGCCGTATTAGTATGGCGCGAGTTTCATTCACATTCACATGTAGTGTCTAGTACCAATCCCTTTCAGAATATGGTTGAACACCAAGGATCTGAAAGGGACCGCGATATTGAGAGGAACCCCTCAAACCAGGGTAGGTTGACAATGCCTGGTACACTGGTAGGGTAGACTCGGAAGACTATTCTCTTCATTTTCTCGGGTCAACCAGCAACCACACGGCTTTGACCCACACTCACCTCTAGCCGCAGCTCGCAATTTTTCATGCAGGTACCTCATTCGAGAGGAACGTTTCATAACTGAGCAGGAAGCGCAAGAGTGGAATTACAAGGACTGGCAAGCGTTCACTCTTTAACAGGCTGCCACGATGAATAATCTTGCCAGTCTGTTCAGCCTAAGCAAGGGTGTAATGTATATTCTACGATTGACTTCCTTGGGCTGTGGAAGCCCTAGTGGTTGATGCTCCGAAGCAAGGCTGGTCCACTCTTGAATCTATTTCTTCTGACTCATCGACATTCCCTTCCGCCGCCATATATGTGTCGTGCGAAAGTGTTGTCAAGCAACTACGTTTGCCGAGGATCCCATGTCTGGCGTCGACCTGAAGAAGATGTGTGGCTCCCACTCGAGAACTCGAAAGACATGAGCAAGCTCTGTGTCCTGTGTCGGATTGTTTTGAGCGAGCTCTGAGCTCTGTTCGCGTTTTTCCATTGTGTCCTTTTTCTGTAGCAGTCTCCGGCTTTCTGGTCATACTTTGCTGTTTGATTTTCTCTGCATTGCGGCCTGGGCTGATGCTTGTATTTCTTGTTGGTTGACTAAATCCCTGCCAGCATATGTGCTGGTTTGTTTTACTCGTTCGGAAGAACCGGTAGGCATGCGACTTTGAAGATGGCAACCTTTTGTTCCAAGATGGGCTTTGAAGACATTTTGGTCAACTTTGGGCTTCTAGGTCTGAACCCAGCTTCTTCTTTTGCTTGAGTAAGTACCAGCAGAAGGTGATTGACCACATTGAGGCAGGGGACATTGGGTAACATCTTGCTTTGGTTTCTTACCGTTGAATACCTACTTCATTGACTTTGGCTAAGGCCAATCCAGAGTTTCTTGAGCCAGCCCAGTGTTGACCTGAGACTTTGAAGATGATTCTGTTTCAAGCCCAGAGCTTTCGTTTCATCTGGGGATCAAGCATCATGCCTGTGGTTGATGCGCTTCCAATCATCACCGGCTTGGCACGGTGACTGAAGGTACAGAGGCGAGATTCTGGAGCGACTGAAGTCCATCGAGGTGGGACAATTGTTGCTTGAGAGGCTCGCCGAACCCGTGGCTTTATTGGACGACCCAACAGAACTTGGCAAGCCTGATGAAGCTCGAGTCACTTGAGATATCCACAGTTCTTTGTGGTCATGATTCATGTCAGCGCGGGGACAAACATTGAGCAAGCCAACACATCTAGCCATCACCACCCCCTTGCGGTGCTTGACCATTGTAACTTACATTTTTTGATTTCACAACAATAGCATTATATAGCCGTATAGGGGGGGGGGTGAAAATTGTAAGATCTAGGGTTGAGGTAGCCTATGTGAGGATGTTACTTTTTTTGACCCCCCCCCCCTCAAAGAGGTCTTGGCCTACTTCTGGAGACTTTGAAAGGAGGGGGGGGGGAAATTGTAAGAATCTATGGGTGGGTACCACACAGAGCAAATTACAATTTCCCCCCCCCTTGTCGACGTTTTACGAGTGTGTTTTGTAATAGCTTTGAACCTCTCTGCTTCGACAGTTTCCACATGCCTTTGGAACATGAACTTGGGCATCTTGAGCTCAAGATTGAACTTAATCCGGAGATTCTCGCTTTGCTTTCGTGCAGCACAAATGGCTCAACCGAGATCAACCGAAAGTTAGAACAACCGAAAGGGAAAGGGAGATAAAGTGGAGGACTCGATGCTCTTGTCTAAACATGGTGTCCCTGCCACTGGAGATTACAATTCTACCCTAGACATCCTTGAACGACCTGTACTTCTTATATAAATTGTTGGAGCAATGCTTTCCACAAAAAAACATGCGCAACACACACTGTATAGTGCAAACAAATGGCAACCTTACAATTATACCTCTAAAGCGACATGTATCTGGTAAAGCTCTGAAGCCCCTCTCTCTTCCAGATATGTTTAAGGCCACTGCAACCTGGGAAAAATACTACACGGAATTGAATGTATTTTAGTGCGCCCACAAGTCCATATCACAATTACAACCTTCTTCTCCGACTATTGAAGCTCGTAAGAGAAATGTTGAAGCCGGAACATGAAAGGAAAACACTGCGCAGGGTGCACCATAGCGCAGCCAGAAAGCCATATTACAATTAGTTCCCCCCCCTTCCGCACTGGTAAGGTCCTCCCATAAATGTTGAGGCAGGCACAGCCCAGGAAAAGCACCGCACAGTGTGTGTTTAGTGCACCAACAAGTCCACATAACAATTAGAACAC